GGGCGTCTGCCTGGGCTGGGGTGCGTCGGGGTGCGGCGCGGGCGCCCGGGCTCCCGCGTGTGGCTGACCCCCTCCCTGCTCGGCCCAGAACTGCCGCATCTACCTGTGCGGCACCAAGAGCGACCTGCTGGAGGAGGACAGGCGCCGGCGGGGGGTTGACTTCCACGACGTGCAGGACTACGCAGATGGTAGGTCCTGTCTCGGTCGTGGCCCCACTGGGCCTGGATCTTCTCTCAGGCTTCAGCTCCATCTCTGCTTCGTGCTGGTCAGGTGCTGCTGGGGGACCAGAACTGCCGCATCTACCTGTGCGGCACCAAGAGCGACCTGCTGGAGGAGGACAGGCGCCGGCGGGGGGTTGACTTCCACGACGTGCAGGACTACGCAGATGGTAGGTCCTGTCTCGGTCGTGGCCCCACTGGGCCTGGATCTTCTCTCAGGCTTCAGCTCCATCTCTGCTTCGTGCTGGTCAGGTGCTGCTGGGGGACCCACCTGGTCCCGGTCCCTGTGGAAATGGGCCCCAGCGGGTGCTGGCCTTCACGCCCACCCGCGCAGCAGGAACGGCTCCGGGGCTGGCGGTCCCTGGGGGCGAGCCCCCAGCCACGTGTTTGCTTGGGTTAGCTGGAGAAGGGGCCCAGAGGTTGCACCAAGCCAGCAGGGCCAGCTGGGAAAGGGGCTGGGGGTGGTGGTGGTTCCTGTCCCGCGGCCCACGCTTCTCAGGCACTCACCTGTCATCTTGCTCAGAGATTAAGGCCGAGCTCTTCGAGACCTCCAGCAAGACAGGCCAGAGCGTGGGTGAGTGACCGCTTCTCCGTGGAGCCGCAGCTGGAGCCAGGCCAGGCCCTTCCCTCCAGAGCGGCCATGCAGATCGAGGGCTCAGTGCTGCCCCATCTCTCAGGTCCTGGGCACAGAGCCCTGACTGGGTCACGGGCACGATGCAGGCTCCTCCTCGGCCAGGACCCTGGGGCTGGTAGGGGGTGGGGGCACGGCCGGGCCTGACTCTTTCCTGTCTCAGATGAGCTGTTTCAGAAGGTAGCAGAGGACTACGTGCGCTTCACTGCCTTCCAGCTGATGACAGGTGAGTGCGGGAGAGGCATCTCTTGCTCCTCAGCAGGCACAGGTCTGGTGTGGCAGCGTGGAGCCTTCTGCTCCCACAGTGTCTGCTTGGGAGCAGGGCTGGGGTGCAGCTCCCATCGGCTGTGGGCCACGGCTGGCGGGCCACCCCCTCACTGCTCCTTCTCTTGCAGAGGAGAAAGGAGGCATCGACCTGAGCCAGAGGAGCAGCCCCTACTTCTACAGCTGCTGCCACCACTGAGCCAGAGCAACGCCCCTGCCGCGGCACAGATCCTGCTCCTTGCACTGGCCTGGTTTTAGCTGTGGGGCTGCAGAGACGGGGCCCCGGCCTGGGCCTCTGCTCCCGGCACTGGACAGGGACATGGTTGGGATGCTGGAGGGGACATAGCTCTGCTCTTGCTGCAGGACCCTGTGGCCGTGGGTCCCCTGCTGCTGCCTGCTCCGCGGCTGCGTCCCCACCTAGCTCCTCCCGGCACAGGCTGCGCTGGCTGGAACTGCACCCTGGGCCCATGTGGATTGTCTCAGCTTCTGTTAAGTTATAGAGATGTGTAAATAAAGTGCGTTGCGGTGTGTGAGATGGCAGCGCTGGGCTCGCTGTGCTGGGACCAGGCCGGTGGCCTGAGGCCTCAGGGAGCGAGTGCGGGGGGCTGCGGAACGGGGCAGGCAGGGGCCTTCTGGCTCCTCTGCCCGGAGCAGGATGGGGAGAAGCCCCTGGTGCGAGCCCAGGAGAGGGCCAGACCTTGCTGTCCCAGACAGGCCGGGCTGAGAGCCCTGCAGGCAGCCTTACTCCTGCCGGCACTGCTCTTAGCAGCAGGCCCTGGCCCTGGCCCTGCACCCACCTCCTTCAGCTCCTGCATTCTCCTGGCCTCTTCGAGCCCTTCTCCCTTGGGCGCTGGAGAACTGCTCCCTCCATGCTCCTGTTCCTGGAAGGCGCCTGGCGCTCCACCCTGCCACCATGTCCATGAGCAGCCATCTGTGACACCCCGAGGTCCTGCCAAGCTGGCAGGTGTATCCCAATGCAGGGGGAGGGGACGGCTGCTGCTGTGAGCAGCCCTGCACCCTTCCCTGGGCAACTGCACCAGGGAGAGAACCAGAGCCCTGAGGCCTCCAGCCTAGGCCACTCAGGGGCACCGTCTTCGCCCCGGGGTGCGGGGGAAGGTATACTCGCCCGTCAGGCTGCTGTGGCTACCCAGGGCTGGTGGGTGGATTTCCCTCGTGGGGAAACCCCTGCTTGCTGCAAGCACCCCTTACCCTTTGCTCCCACCTGCGGGCAGAGGGGCCTGCATGCTACAGGGCCATGTCCAGGGTGCACCAACCCTTTCCTCTGCCCTGGCTGGCCAAATCTCACAGCCTTCTGGGTTGTGTGCTGGGGGAGGCAGGGACTCGGCACCTCGACCTCCCGGTGCCTGGAGTGAAGGGTCTCTGCTCCCCGCAGAGGGCTCAGGTTGGGGGAAGACTCCCACCGGAGCATGCTGCCTACAAGGCTGAGCGGATGGACCAGGAGCAGCCCGGGCCCAAGGGCTCCCCCCTGCGCTGCTGCTGCCAGGGGTCAGTCACAGCCCACCGCGCCCAGGGGAGCAGGCAGCTGGGACCCCCGCGGCCCAGTTCCGTGCTCGTGTTGCTGCCAGGCTGAAGCCTAACCCGCGGGCTGACCTGACGGAAGGAGACATGCCAGCCCTGGTCCCTATCCAGGCTACTCAGTCACCCGCCTGGCGAAGCTGGAGCAACCTATCCCCAGCCTTCCCAGTGTGCACCAACATCTCTGCCAGCCATGGTCCTGGCTGCAGCCGTGCACAGGCGCTGGGGACCGAGTGCCCGCTAACTGCGCCAGCCCCTCCTTCCCTGCACCGGGCCCCGTACCTCCCCGCCCCCCAGTCTGTGCAGGGGGCACTGCCCCTGACCTGCTTGTGCCCCCAAGACAAACCACACGAGAGGGCATCGGGAGTAAAGTTAAACTTTACTTTACAGTAATCGTTCGTCTATGTACAGAGAATTACAGTACGTGTTCTGGGAGCACCTGGCAGGGCCACCCTCTGCCCATCACACGCAGCCCAGGGCGAGAGGAAGGCCGTGGCCCCAGATCTCCCCCCCTCGCTGCACGCGCCGGCCACACCGCTCTCCCCAGGCCAAGCGGTGCGGGTGTCTATGTGCTGCGTCCACCTCCCCGCGTGCCTTGAGGCGCTGGGTGGCTGCGCCTGGTCCCTCCTGCAGTCACCGCTCACGTCCCCCTGCTGGCCCCCTTCCAGTGTTGCCTGCATCGGTCCCCAAGGTGCCTGTGCCGCCTAGACCAGCCCCACCCCGCTAGGCCCCGCTGTGACGCAGGTAACGCTTCACTCGCACCTGGGTGCTGTCTAGACTAAAGCTTACGGCCCTTGCTGCCTCCTGTGACCCAGAGCCGAGCCCCGGAGCAGGACCCTGGCATGGCCTTGGGCAAGGGCACCAGCCCCAGCCGGAGCCTGGAGCCCCAGGAAGGGCCCCGGAGGCAGCAGCAGCAAACGCCAGCTCCATTTTCCTCGTCTGCAGCTGCTAGGGCCCCGCTGGGGCCCTGCTCCAGCTGCACCAGTCCAGGGGAGGGGAGGGACGAGCCCGGGCAGGAGCAGGTGCGGGGGCTGCGCCAGAGGGCGGCAGCTGTTCCCAAAGCAGGTGCGACTCCTACCCTGTTCTCGCCTTCCCGGGGGGCCAGCGCAGGACAGGCCGCCTCACCCTTCTGCTGCCGGCCCCGTCTTGCCAGTGCTCAGGCCGACGGGTGCCCCGACTCCTGCCACGGCTCCAGCCCACCCCGGCGCGAGGCTGTTCCCCAGTGCCAAGGTCGAAGTCCAAGGCTCGGTTCCTCCGGGTCAGCGCTCAGGAGGCACCACCGGACCGAGAAGCCCCGCGGGGCCTGCTCAGCCCTGCCCCAGGCGAGGGAGCTTCCAAGCGGCTGGCGGCAGAGGAGCAGGGTCTCCCCGGGCTCAGAAGAGGGGAGATTCGGCTTGTGAGGGACCCACACCCCGCCCCGGCAGGGGGTGGGGGGACAACACACACAGCTGCCAAAAGTCTACAATAGCACCAGGAGCGCCCGAGGGCTCCGCCAAGGGCAAACACAGATTAAACATGTCCTAGGAACACGACAGCGACACCAATGCCGAGGTTTCCCTACGAGGTAGATTCACTCCTGCAGGGACCGCCGGCACCAGGAGGCATGGAGCACCGCAAGGCCTGGGCACGGGCACGCGCCAGCCTCCAGGGCAGCGTCCCTCCAGAATCGGCGAGCAGGGAGCCCACGCTTGCTGCCAACCGACACCATGGAGGGCTGCTGTCACGGCCCCACAGTCACTGCTTCCCTGGGGCTTGAGCGCAGCGGGGCCTCGTCTACGCTAGGGAAGCTCATACCAGGGGCATGGTGCCGGGGCGGCGCAGACACAAGGGTGAGCGGCGGGTACTGTGCCCCCATGCCGGCCGGCGGGGGTGCAGGGGCAGCTCAGGGCTGCTCCCAGACACACGAAGCTCTGGTAAGAGGCCGCGCGTGCCTGGGAGCAGCCCCAAGAGGCTGGCCCATTGCAGACGCGCTGCACCAACCCAGTGCAATGGCTGGATGGCGTCAGGATCTGCTTGCGTCCAGCCGCCAGGCGCACCTGCGCCCACCCTCCACCCGCGCGCGCACATTCACCAAGCTGCCCTGAGGTGCCCAGCGCTTCCAGCTCCTCATCCTGCGCGCCCGACTTGGAGCAGGGCCTGGGGCTGCCACAGACCGGACGCCTCTGCTGCACAACCTCCCTTCCGACTTCCGGGGCAAAGAGGCCCAGTCCCGACCTGCTGGCTGCACCAAGCGGGAGCCGGCACCCTCTGCACTGAGGCCGTGGCGATGCCTCTGCCAGGCAGGAGAACGTGCCCTGGCCACACTGCGCCCCCGCCTGCCCCGTCCCTCGCTCTCGCCAGCACCCGACGGCCCAGCCACCACGCTCTGCTCCCAAATCCCGCAGCACAGAACGACCGGCTCCAATGGCACGGCCCCCGCCCTGGTGCCTCCCCCAGGCACCAGCCCCTGCCCCGCACCACCTCTGCTGTGGACGCCAGCGCTGCACCACCCCACGGCCAGGGTGATGTGCCCGCGCCCTCCTTCCCGCTGCCTGGCTCAGGGCAGAGCCCGGCTCCCGGGGCTCGGCCAGCAGGGTGGGCACAGGGGTGCGTCTCAGGGGCCCGTTCGGGCTCTGGGGCTGGGAGTCAAAGCTGCTCTTGCCAGCACCACGCCTCGCCTCTTCCAGCCGGGGCAGCTCCGAGGGAGCCCCTGACCACGGATCCCTGCCCAGCTGCCCTTGCTGCGCTGCAGCTTGGGCACAAGCCACCTCCCGTCTCGCTCCCTGGCAGCCGGCTGCCCCCCGTCCTGGGCACCCCTTCGGGCAGACGGGGTCCCAGCTCTGCCAGGGAGGGAGCTCTTGGCTTGGGCCCCATGCTCCCGGTTCAGACTCATGCTCCATCCAGCAGCTGCCTGGCCCGAGCCAGCTCCCCACGCGGCGGCTCGGGTGGGTGGAGCGGAGGGATCTGGTGCAGAGGGAGGAGGCCAGTCGAGGGGAACCAGGCTGTGGGTGCTGTGCACCAGCTCAGTGGGGTCCCCGGGTTGCATGCTCAGTGTAGCTGGCCTCAAACTGCACCGGGAATACCTCCGTGCCACAGACCTCACGTTGCCTGCACCAAAGTAGTCACAGTTTATTTGTGCGTGAAACAAGGAATGAGGAAACGCGACAGCGCAGAAGCCGGGCGGGGGCCTGGCAGGCAGCTGCCACCACCCCTCACACCAAGGGGCCTCGTCCCGGGCGCGGGGAGGGTTGGGGCTGCGGTGCTGGCACCAGCTTACTTCCTAAAGTGGCCTTTTGTTTCAGAGCCCGAGTGCAATGCCCTTGGGCTCCTGCTCTTCTCCCCACAGCTGCCAGGCTCCTGCATCTCCCCAGCACCCACCCACAGCATGGACGGGACCCCTGCGACCCCACTGGATCAGCCCCAGGCACGAGGGTGCCTGAGGCTGGAGTCAGTGTCGCCGCACCGGGTGGAGATGAGACGAGACGCGTGCCAGCAGCAGGTGGCCACGGTGCTGAGCCCCTGCTGTGGCCATCCAGGCTCCAGTGGCCACGTGCTGGGGCGGAGAGCGCTGGCCCACAGCACTGCCCCAACCCCGCCCGGCCCAGGCGGCACAAGCCATGGATGGGGCCGGCCGCAATCCCGCCACACGCCCCGCAAGGGCCGCTGGG